AAAAAAAAAAAAAGGATCCCCCTGCCAATGCAGGGGACACGGGTTTGATCCCTGGTCTGGGAAGATCCCACATGCCGCAGAGCACCTAAGCCCCTGTGCCACAACTACTGAGCCTGCGATCTAGAGCCCACGTTCCACAACTACTGAAGCCCGCGCGCCTAGAGCCCGTGCTCCACAGCAAGAGAAGCCACTGCAAGGAGAAGCCCGCGCACTGCAATGAAGAGTAGCCCCCGCTCGCCACAACTAGAGAAAGCCCTCACGCAGCAACGAAGACCGAACAGCCAAAACTAAATTAAAAATTAAATCTTTAAAATAACAAAACAAAAGAAATCTGTCCTGAAATATACAGGGCTTTATGTGTAATGATTTTATTTGCCAAAACATTGTTTATTACAGTGAAAATTGTAATCCACTTAAATGAATAAATTATGGTTCCTCTCTCAATGGGAATATTTCTCCATTCAAAATTAGGGTTTTTTAAAAAATGTAAGCAGGTGCATGTATCTTTTCGAATTAGTGTTTTGTTGCTTTTTTTTCCAGATATATACCCAGGAGTGGAATTGCTGGGTCATATGTAGTTCTATTTTTAGTTTTTTGAGAAACCCCCATACTGTTCTCCACAGTGGCTGCTCCAATTTACATTCGCACCAACAGTGTATGAGGGTACCCTTTTCTTCACATCCTCAGCAACATTTGTTATTTGTGTTTGTTTTGATGGTAGCTGTTCTGACAGTTGTAAGACGGTATTTCATTGTGGTTTTGATTTGCATTTCCCTGATTATTAGTGATGTTGAGCATCCTTTATTGTGTCTGTTGGCCATCTGCATATCCTCTTTGGAAAAATGTCTATTCAGGTCTTCTGCCCATTTTTTAATTGGGGTGTTTGCTTTTTTGATGTTGAGTTGTATGAACTGTTTATATATTTTGGATATTAACCCCTTATCAGTCATATCATTTACAAAATTTTCTCCCATTCATTCAAGGAAGTTGTCTTTTTGGGGTTTTTTGTTTAGTTTTGTTTTTTAATTAATTAATTTATTTATTTATTAATAAACGGGCTTTCTCTATTTGTGGCTAGTGGGAGCTACTCCTCGTTGTGGTGCAGTAGCTTCTCTTGTTGCAGAGCACGGGATGTAGGCACATGGGCTTCAGAAGTTGCAGCTCGTGGGCTCTAGAGTGCAGGCTCAGTAGTTGTGGCACACGGGCTTAGTTGCTCCGTGGCAAGTGGGATCTTCCTGGACCAGGGCTCAAACCCGTGTACCCTGCATTGGCAGGCAGATTCCTAACCACTTTGCCACCAGGGAAGTCCCTGTCTTTTTG